TCTGATGCGGCCTGAGGACTCCATCTTTACCGCGACTGCCGAACTTCATCCTCACCCTGTAAATAAATCCACCTATCCTTTAATTCAACCGTAACAGTTTTGTGGTGGAGGTGCGGGGTAATCAACCAAGCAACACGACGCTTCAAGCGCCTGATCTACGACGAAGTTGCCGCCTTGCTGGACTGCCCCCGTTACCACTGGCAGCTGAGATGTCTCACGGCAAAGAAGGAAACCGGATCCCCGCAGCTGCAGACCTTTGACCAGTCCCAGCAGCACCGCTAGTACCAGGTTCGCGTGCGGCTGGTCCCTGGTTGCGTCAGGATCTGATAGTGCCTCGCACATTCGGTGGTGAATCTGGCGAGGACGTGGATGCCTGGCTCACACACTACAAACGGGTGAGCAAATACTACCAGTGGGACGCGGCGACCCAGCTGACCAATGTAGTATTTTTCTTAAGGGACACAGCACTCGTGTGGTACGAGAACCACGAAGATGCCCTCACGTCATGGGATCGCTTCGTTTCTGAAATAAGAGCGTGCTTCGGAGACTCCGTAGCTAAGAGAAAGCAGGCCGAACAAACATTACTGCAGAGAGCTCAGATCTTAGGAGAGATGTGCACCACCTATGTCGAGGCAATCTTGAAGCTCTGCAAGATTGTCAACCCTTCCATGTCAGAGGAAGACAAAGTTGGCCACCTGTAAAAGGGCATTGCCGAGGACGTGTATCAGTTCCTCATCAGCAAAGACAGCCTTGCTACGGTGACTGACGTCATAAGCCACTGTCGCACATTCGGGACCCTGAAGATGCGACGTATCACCCCCAAGTTCGGTCGCCTACCGAATGTAACCATCGTGGCAAGTGTTGACAAATACACGCCGCTTGATATCGCGTTGACAATACGCCAGATCGTCCGAGAAGAGCTCACTCGACATGCTCGCCCGACGCCGTACGAGCCTACACCCGATACGTGTGGAAATAGATGGCTTTTGTACAAGTGCTTTGGTGGACACTGGTGATACGATATCAGTTATGAGTCTTTCTTTCAAAAGTCGCATTGGCCGCAAAGTTATGTTTTCTTGGGGCGAATCAACAAGGTTTCGTGGTGTTGGTGAAGAAGTGCTTCATCCTGTCGGAGTTTGTGCCGTCAATGTCTTATTGGCAGGAAAGGTGTTCCCAACAGAGTTTCTTGTGCTGCAACATTGTACCCACGACGTGATTCTCGGTCTTGACTTTCTCCAAGGATGTGGCGCTTTTGTCGACTGTAGAAGCGGTGACATTGTTCCTGCCCTCGTCGATGAGGCGCCGGAGGCTGCGAAGGATGCTCTGATTGTTTCCGACGAGCTGACAGTGCCGCCATGGTCAATGAGGTCAGTTGCGGTGTCCGCCCCAGAATCTGCCACATCTTTTGAAGCCATCGTTGAACCTGCCATCATTCAATGTGCTAAGAAAGGCATACTCGTCCCTCGTTGTTTGGTATCTGTTGACGAAGGAGCAACCTTTCTGTGGGCACTGAACTGTTCGCCAACGCCGGTTGTGCTCCCTCGAGAAATGAAGCTTGGCGTCTTCGATGATTCCACTGAAGGTTCTGTAGCGGTCGTTAACAACGATGAAAGCGAGAAAGGTACAGTCTCTGGCAAGCGCAGTTGCTCTTACGAGTCGCAGATCCTAGGCAAGATTAGCACCACTTTGCGGTCACACGAGCAGCAGACGTTACGCCATCTGTTGAGGCAACATGCTTCTGTGTTTGACTTTTGCCAAGAGGAGAAGTCACTACCTTTACCATGTTCTCGCGCTCACCATAGGATTGACACCAGCACTGCCCATCCGATTCGACAAAAGCCTTACCGAGTGTCGTCATCAGAACGAAAAGTTATTGCCGACCAGGTTCAGGAAATGCTGAAGAAGGGTGTTATTGAAGAGTCGTGTAGCCCGTGGGCAGCACCAGTCATCTTGGTTAAGAAGAAAGATGGTGCCTGGCGGTTCTGCATTGATTACAGAAGACTCAACGCCGTGACCAAAAAAGATGTATATCCGCTGCCTAGGATTGACGATGTTATTGAGTGCTTACACTCGGCTTCGTACTTTTCTTCAATAGACCTACAATCGGGATATTGGCAGATACCTATGCACCCTTCAGACAAGGAGAAGACCGCATTCGTGACGCCTGATGGACTGTACCGATTCAATGTGATGCCGTTTGGGCTTTGCAACGCCCCCGCCACTTTTGAAAGGTTTATGAACTCTGTCCTTCGTGGTCTTAAATGGGAGGTGTGCTTATGCTACCTGGATGACGTCGTCATTTTTGGGCGTACCTTCGAAGAGCACAACGTCCGTTTAAGCCTTGTTTTAGACTATGTCGGAAAGGCTGGCTTGATTTTGAATTTTAAGGAGTGCCGGTTTGGTGAACGAAAAGCTTTAGTCCTCGGTCACGTAGTTGACAAAGATGGTGTCAGGCCGGATCCCCGCAATATCGAAGCAGTCGGCACATTCAAACCACCCCAGACACTGAAGGAACTTCGCAGCTTCTTGAGCCTATGTTCCTACTTTCGCCGCTTTGTGCCCCGTTTCGCGGACGTAGTACACCCACTGATGAGCTTGTGAAAAGACAGCTCATTCGAATGGACACCTGATTGTGATGCCGCATTTTCTGAACTGAAATTTCTACTAACATCTGAGCCTATTCTTCGTCATTTCGATCCTTCTGCTCCTACAGAAGTGCACAGTGACACAAGTGGAATTGGCATCGGAGGTGTGCTTGTTCAGCGCCATGATAATGCAGAGCATGTTGTTGCTTATACGAGTCGATCTCTAAGCAAGGCTGAAATGAATTGTACGGTGACAGAGCAAGAATTTTTAGCTGCTGTATTCGCCATTCAGAAGTTTCGATGTTACCGCTACGGTCGCCCATTCACAATTGTGACAGACCATCATTCATTATGTTGGCTTGTTACCCTCCGAGACCCTTCTGGCCGCCTTGCTCGATGGGCTTTACGCCTTCAAGAATTTGACTTCAGCATTTCGTACAGAAGTGGACGACGTCATTTGGACGCTGATTGCCTTTCCCGTCTACCTATGACCACGACGGAGGACAGTGCAGATACCCTTGACATCTGTTTTGCTGCGGTCTCTCACACGTTTCCTGACACCAATGTCTTCAAATGAGAACAATTGAATGATTTATCTTTAGACCCTTTGTTCGTTGACGCTCGGAATCTCAAAGGCAGTGGTCGCTTTCGCATTCGTGATGAACTGTTGTGCAAAACGAATTACTCAGCAACCGGCGCACGTTATTTACTAGTTGTACCTCAAAGTCTTCGATGCGACGTTCTCCATACTATGCACGATGATCCAACGTCAGGACACCTTGGGTTCATTCGCACCCTGCATCGAGTGCAGCAGCGTTTTTACTGGCCCCGAATGCGAGATTTTACGAAACAATACGTCTCGAGCTACGAGAATTGCCAGCGCTACAAACGACCTACCAGTGCACCGCACGGCCTTCTTCATGCCGTAAAACCGCCTACTACGCCTTTTGAGCAAGTGGGCATCGACCTATTGGGCCCGTTTCCGCGATCTTCGAACAACAACCGCTGGATAATAGTGTGCGTCGACCACCTTACCAGATACGCCGAAACCGCTGCGATACCACCTTCTACAGCTGATGGCATCGCTGCCTTTTTGTTACGTTCCGTTGTTTTTCGCCATGGTCCACCTCAAGTAATCATCAGTGACCGTGGTCGCCAATTCATTGCAGACGCTGTGGAAGAATTGCTTCGCCTCTGCACTTCACAGTTCAGACATTCGACACCATACCATCCCCAAACGAACGGTCTTGTAGAACGTACCAATCGAACTCTTACTAACATGCTCGCAATGTACGTCTCGTCCAATTACAAAAACTGGGATGAGATCTTACCATTTATTACTTATGCAAACAATACAGCGAAGCACGAGACCACGGACTTCATGCCCTTCTACCTGCTCTACGCTCGATCACCACTCAGCTCCCTTGATACAATCCTCTCATTTAAGCTCCATACCGATGAGTCCGTGGCCGAAACATTGTGCCAGGCTGAAGAAGCCCGCCAAATTGCTCGCTTGCGAACACTGGCATCACAAGACCGCTCCAAGCAACGATACGATCAACGCCATGATGCCATTTCATTCCGCAAAGGTGAATTCGTGTGGTTGTGGACCCCCCAACGAAAACCTGGTTCATGTCAGAAGTTTTTACCGCAGTACACAGGCCCCTACTTCATTGTAGATCGCTTGACTGACTTGACGTACGTTGTGGCACGCTTGACGACACCTTCTCGTCGGTCAAATCGAACGCAGTTGGTGCACGTAGCTCGCCTCAAGAAGTTTCATCCCTCCAGTGACATAAACTCGCCCAGCGGGCTTCGTCTGTGAACGGGGGATTGCTAAGGTATAAGCCGGGCTGTAGTATGTGCCGGGGAGGTAGAAGAGGAAGACGACGTTGTCTGGTGGGGCCTGAGGACTCCATCTTTACCGCGACTGCGGAACTTCATCCTCACCCTGTAAATAAATCCACCTATCCTTTAATTCAACCGTAACAATATGTTTTGGCTGGCGTTGGGCTTGCACTGGAACAATTCTGTTGTAGTTACAGGGCGCACAAAGGTCACTGCGATCCTCGCACAGCCTCTGTTTACGAAAAAGGACGTGCTTTTCAGACACAGCGAAGTAACATCTAAGACGCTTATTCGCATTTATCTGTACCTACGAATACGTTTCGTGCGTCATTTGTGCATGAGAAACGCGGGGCGCGTTTCAAGCGGCTTGCCATTCTGCGAGTGACTTCCCAATTTATCGCTATCGTGTTCATTGCTTCCCCTTTGCGGCAAAACTGTGACTTTTTTGATGTCTTGACAAAAAAGCACGAGGGTCACTGCCTGCTCTCAAAGCAAGAGTTATCCTGAGCACAACATTAAGCACCTGGCTCCATCCAGAGTAACTGGAGTAGACAGAGACCGACATACACTGAGCTGTGCTGGGGCCCAGGCGGCCTTGTGCAGGTGGCGGACACGGGACACGTGGGGGCCCAGGCTACGGTGCACACTGCAGCACTCATCACACAGCAGCAGGCCTCGGCTCAGGGAACCCCACTGGGGCTCTGCACGACCAAAGATCCACAGCAAAGTTACATCAGTGCAGCTGCTAAAACAACAAGTTGGGTAGCAAGAATGAACAGAAAAGTAAAAGAAGATACACAGGAATAAGCTCTGCAATAAATGCCACACAGCAGCTATCAAATGTACTCATATAAAATGCTGTCAGAAAAGTAAGGCCCTAACACCCCAGCAATAGCAAATAAAGAAACAGGCTTGCATATGCATAGATGTATTTGACCTTTTTGCTAGTGAGTGTATTATACAATATGCCGATACGTTACCTAATGACTAAATTTTACTAAACGAACAAAAATGAATTTTTTTTATTATTCCCAGTCTCTCTGAGATTATTACAAACAAATGCGTACCCCAGACCGGTTTTCCTACGCCTGTGTTGTCCAAGTCTATACCCAACGTACGCATGTAAAGCGTGTGGGTAAAGGGCCACACAGCGGCACATGCTTTGGGAGTATGCCAGAAAAGTTCATGTCACTGCCACCGCTCACTTCGCGAAGTATGTTAAGCAGAAACGAACTTCGAGGACAATCGCTACTGCTACCACCGCAAGAAGGCAGGGGTCACTGCTGTGGTCACTGCTGCGGATCGGCTACGTCAGCTTCGCTGCCACTGGGAGGCGGCACTCACCAGCGACGAGCAGGCCGACCAGGTTCGGGCCGTCTGGCAAGCCGAAAATGCCGCCCCGGTCCAAGGACTTGAAGTGGTTCTTCTAACCGGGCGGCACATTTCATCTATATGGCACATTATTTTCCACGGAATGTACTCTTGTATGTTCTATCTTTTCATTTACTTCCCTGCCATAATGACTAATTGAGGGTCAACAGTATCAATAAATAAATAAATAAATGAATTTTTTGCCCAAATTCACACATGGTATTCTGACTGGCAAATGACCTATAACAAGGAGAAAAACCATCAGAATGACACTTTTCATAATCCCCAAATGTGCCTTCCCGTGCTGCATATTAGCCCGACTAATGACAGCACGTGTCATGTTTCAACGAGAGATGAGGTCATGGTTGCACATGCTGGGGTTTGCCTATCATGCATGCGGCTGTCAAGAGAGATGACTTCACATTTTCTGTATTATAGCACGAGCAAACGACACTTTTAACACACTGTTACAGTGGCTAGAAGGAAAGGTGTGATCCGGCAGGCATCAGCGCAGTGCTGGCATAGCTAGTTTTTTTTAATGAATTTTGCGCCAGCGCTATTTGTTTTTACTTGTGCTAGCACTTTCTATGAGTAATTGACGCATTTATAGTTGAGTCATTGAGCAAAAAAGTCACTTTCTAAACAACTTCCCCCCCTTTTTTTGTGACATCAGGGTAATGCCAACTTCCAGACTCCCATATTTTTTTCTTTATGGCACGCAGTGCGACTAACATGTATAACGGCATTGCTATAATTATCTTCTTACTATTTGCTAAACATGTTAATTTTGGCACAAAGTTAAACACATGAAAAGAAAGGAAATCAAGGAGCCCCAGTGTGTTTTAGCAAATTTGGGCACAAACTCATAGAAGAACCATTTCTTCCATAGTTCCTAATTCTTTGCATAAAATGTTTGTTGCCTAAAGCTATACTCAATGATGTCTGGCTCTTGCTTTCAAATATGAATGCAAACAAATGAGTCTCACTTATTTATGCCACAAATAATATGGAGAAAAAATGCACCAATGGTAAACATTTGCCAAATGTTCATTAGCTTCATAACGTAGAGTTTTGGGCATGTTGGTACGTCATACTGCATTTTTCTAACGCATAAAAAACAGACAAAAAAAGGACAGGTGCCTGTTCGCGTTTATTAGCTGTCCTCACGTTCCAAATCAAAGGGTTATCAGTAAAAAATACTAATATTAAAAATAATAATAAAACTGACTCAAGTTGTTCTTTGAAGCTTTGTTTCCTTTTTCTCTTGTTAACATCCGCTCCTTGTTTAATGACTTGGTGTAATCATAGTCGAAGTTTGTTAGTTCAAACACTGCTAATTCAAACTGATGCCCTAGTCTTGGCACAACCCTGTGCGTTTCTATAAGCCAAAACTCAGTTATATTATGCAGGTCGGTATCCCCCGACGATTTGTTCAAAATGGGAGGCCCCGCGTTTCCTCCCTCGACGCGGAAGTCAGCCTGATGTTATCACAATATGCTGAGAAACCAAGCCAAACTAAATTTACTAGAAACTCAAAACAACCAAAAAATAGCGTTTCTCAGCAGATAAAATCCGATGCTTCACTAGGGCTCTTTGGCAATTTTCAAACGATGGCCATGGGGTCGCATCTGAAGAAATGCAGGTAAATAAAAATTACTGTTTCTTGTTGAACCAGCCTTATTCTGGTCCAAAGAGCAGGGGAGACCACGTTTACTTTTAATTTTGATAGCATTAACTTTGTACCATGTTGCTACATGCATCCTGCCAATCTCTGGGACTATGCGCGTGTGTGCCTGAAGAGGCGGACAAAGAGCTCTTGTTGCTCGCCTTCCGAGCTCGTCGAAGCAACAAAAAGATTACAGTGTTAGTCTATACTTACTTATTCAAATTTTCAGCTTGTAATTCATCGTTATTTCTATCAGGAAACAGAGATGGTTTGACTCAATAAGCCTTTTTATTTATACCAAGTTTCATCTCTCAATTAATTTCCCAGATTGCTTTTAGTTTCACAGTCCAGTAGTTTAAGCATCCTTCCGCCCGTTTCTTTGCCCATACCTCTTTGTGGGTGAGCGCCATTCATATGAGGTCACCATCAATTGGTCAGTACTGCAACCGTTACTTTAAATACATACCATCCAGAACATCGTTGAACCAGGCATCTCATCATTCACTTAACATAGTGTGTAGAGGTTGAAAGTTTCCCGTTCTCATCCTTCACAGTGGCTGAATCATCCCGTCACCGGCAATGGTTTCCAATGACACCAACCAGTCTTCCTCTAGATCTGTGGTGCCCACAACAATGTACGTCGTGGCGTACAACCTCAGCGATCCCGGTATATTCTCTGCCCAAGCTGGCCTTGATGTTGACTACTGGCTCAGTATGTATGAGGGAGCTAGCCAAAGCCCCCGACGGGATCCTACCGTGATGCTCACCAATGTAGTCTTCTACCTGGGAGGCCCCCCTCGTGTCCGGTTCGACACTCATGACATCACCGGCTGTGATACTTTCAAGCAGAGTTGCCACTCTGGAACTGCATTAAATCCGAAATCATTCCACATTTCCGCAACCTCGGAGTGGAATGGGAATGAAATGGCGACAAAGCTTGAAGGAGTTGAATAGGAATGGAATTAAGTGCACTTTCCATGGATAAGAATGGAAATAAAATTAAGTCTTTTCAAAAGCAGAGCTCATTTTAGTCGACGTGCTGTTTTTCAAACTTCAAGCATTAGTGAGTCAGACCCTCGAATTTAACAATAAAGCAGCAATTTAAAAAGGCTTGGCTGATTACGAGAATTGCACATTTATAAGCTAGGCACATACTATAATTAGCTTCTTATATAGACTATGTTGCTCCGAAGTTTTTTTCTATTCATGTAACTACGGCTATATGCCATGGTATCCATCTTGCAGAACAATACGGTGGCGGCATACCCACCCTACACCTTGTGATTTTTTCCCCTCGGTGGCGCCGCAGCCACCTGCTGTCTCCCAATCCTTCACTTTAATTTTGCTTCTGCCGACGTCGACGACTCGGACGCATATATAAAAAAATACTTCTCTAAGTTGTGATGCATATTGATGCCGGTGTGATGCTTGTGTTTACTACCAGCTTTCATACTCTAGTTTGTGCCAGTTCGTTCACCACACGTTAACCCCCCTTTTTTTTTTTGCAATACTATCCGCCTACCTACACAGATGTGCGCTTTTGCATGAAATTCTATCGCAAAAGTCTGTAGGTCAGCGCAGCCCACATTCGTACACGACAAAGTGTGTGCTGTGTGAACTATGTGTGTGATAAACTGTTGTACAAGATTAGCCATACAGAGAGAGATAGAATAGACTTTTGAAAGCATTGGTTCAGGTAGCCAGCCAAAGCAGGCCATTCCACATAACCAACGCAGCGTCTCTCCGAATCCCTATGCGAAGGTTTGCTAAGTCGTCATTTTAGTTATAATTCCTTTGAGCTTAAACAATAATAAAGCATCCTTCGTTTAAACATGCGCTCTTGGAAAAAAAGCCTGCGTATTCACTAACTAAATACTAACCACTTACTTGTCACAAAAAATCCCTAACCTCCTAGTTAGCGAAGGTAGTAAAATGCTGATCAGAGAAACTTGCTAGTTTGCAAAGTAGTTGGTGAACAATGCCGACTCAAATACATTACTTAGTTTTTAGTTAATGGGCATGATGTGTGCATCTACATTGCCACATCCAGATAATTAAATAACAGAAGTATATATAAGATCATAGGTGAATTACAATTCTTCATGTCTATTATTTAGTGGCCTCTAATCAATTCATGTAATTGCCAGGGGTGCATCAAAGCAACATACATAAAGGCATGAATGAATCACAGACGAGGACATACACGCAAACGGGCACATAGAATATCAAGACTTAGTCGGTATCGTATACTGTAGCAGCCGTTTAAAGCCCATTTATGCTCTTACTTTAGAATAGCATACTGCGTACTGGTTAGCAGCCATAAAATTTAGAAATTAAGCATAAAATAAAGGTGTTAGGTGCATAAATAGCGTCATATATTTCGACATTAGAGGGACACTAGACAGGTACAATGACTTGGTTCAAATTGACAAACTACACTCTGAGAGCTCTAATGTCGTATGTCTCACTACTATAGGTTTAGTATTTGCAGAGAAAATCAAGGTTGAAGTTTCAGTTTTAAATTTCGCACCAAAATCTATGCGCCTGACATAAGAAATTTCAAAATTTTTTTTTTGGTATTCTTGTGGCATAGGCTCGATGAAATCTCCTAAACTCCCTATGCCACGTCTATGGCACCCACAGATTACAACGTACTTCCCATTC